TTATTATTCTATGCCTCACTTAAACGTCATTGAAGATAACAATCAGTCTAGGTAAATATCAAGTTTAGTCTGTATGAACTATATGAAACAGCACTGATCCAGATTCATCATCAAAAGTTATGAGCATTTTTGTTGTGCAGTGATAAACGCATAACTCTGAAACATTCCACTAAGGTTTTATTCAGCTAGTAATCTCTGCTTCAGATTGACAGGTACTGAACATATATGGTTCTGTTCACTCCTCAATGCTAATCGAATTCTTTTGATTATTTTGCGATATTGTAGCTGAAATCACTGATACTGGATTGTGGTGAATAGAGGCAATTTATACTCAGTCCTCGAAGTCTTGTTCGGTATTAACTCATTAAGTATTTCTGTTCTCCATGAAAAAAATCACTTTTTCCGAGATCGCAGCCTAAATCAACATCATCATCACCATTTAGAGTTCATTTATGCTCAGTGGAATCGCCAGTAGAGTTCAAAACAGGTGCAGGCTGCGAAACCCCTGTTACTGAATTACATAGCAGTTACGGCCAACCAAGTCTGGTGCTGGGAGATAATAAAATTACTATTCTAAGCATAGTTTTCGTACGCTGAATGTTGAATGAGTAGAGTAATGCACGAGCTCTTTGCTGCTCTATACTACGCTATAGAAGACCGATGAAAAACAATGAATTATAAGTAGAGGCAATAACAAACTGACTGACTGGAACCAACTTAATATGTAGTAAGTACATGTATAAAAGTGACAGAACAGTCATGGTAATATATATATATATATATATATATATATATATATATATATGGAGAGAGAGAAAGTCGTCGTGTATTTAGAAGCTGAAATGTCTGACTCATTTTTGACTGATCAATGTGACTAATCCTCTTATGTCCATTCTAATCAATTCTCTATAGAATAGCCAATAAAAACACACTTTTATGTCAGTATTTTTTCTTGTTTTCTTTACTGTGTTGCTTGATTCGCTTATTCAAGAACAAAGAAATATTCCTGCTTATGAGTCAGAGAATGATTCAACATTTCCTCTTCCGAAAAAATTCTCAATTATAAGGACCACTCTGAGAACCTAACCTGCCATCTATCATAACAGTAAAAAAGATACACTTTTTGAAATTTTTCCCATGTGTGCCAGTAGATTTTGTGGCTGCTCTTTCTGATATACTGTTGGGCTATATATTAAAGTATAAATGAACTGGAACACAAAGAAAGTCACTTCAACAAATTTAAATAACTGATCCACATATCAGATATCATGAATAAGGTAAATGTGATGTAAGTGCCTGAAGTTGATGTCTCAGTGTTTATTCAACCATCAGGAACTGAGCACTAGGCTATCCTGACTACTTGTAATTATTTAGATTTCCTTCATTTTCAACAGTGAATTGTATTTTTATATAATAAGTCTGAAAAGCATTTTGGAAACAAATTTTTCCACTCTATTTGGTTACAAAAATCAGTCAACAAATCTGTGAAATAAGAAGCCTTATCGGTGTTAATCCTTCTGCTTCTTGAAAGAAATTAATTTATTGCCTGTAATAATATATATAATGGTGAGTGACTGTAGGGACCATTATGCGTCTTTCTTAGCTAATCAACACACGTCTAGATGTGTCTATACAGATATTGCTTTCTGTACAAAAAGAAGAAACATCAGTTCAGATCAGTTACTCCAAAAGCAACTAATTTCACGCGATCTGATAGATGGATTTTAGAAGCTGCCATTTTTAAAGATTTATTTGTATGTATTAACGTTTCTGTTGGTGCGTCGGTGGCATAGCGGTTAGGACGCTCGACGACTATGCATATGGTCCGGGTTCGATCCCCGGCCGGCGCACTCCTTCACCTCATTAAGCCAGAAATAAATCTGGTGAAGAGGAAAGGTTGGGCATGAGGCTAGCAACCCCATCCTGTAAAAATAATCACCACTGCTACAGAAACTTCAAGCCTCTAGCTTGAAGCCCTATGTTCCACTGGGAAAGTGAAGGAATAAAAAACGTTTCTGTGAACTGTAGATTGTTTAAATTATATTTCACTGAAGTCTTATTGGTCTCTGCATGAAATATTTTCTATTTCTTTCCGCTTCTAGTGGAACAAAAGGTTTCAAGCTTCGAAAATTCAGTAACAGTGGTGTCGTCTAACTTCACACACAAAGTTTCATCTCCAAGCTTACTGTCAGCTGATAAACTAAGCGAGGTTTAAGGATGTATTAGCCAAGAATCAAACCCCAGACCACGTACGAGGTTGACGAGCTTTCCATCACTAAACCACGGAGCTACACAAAATACCACTCACTTTTGTTAAATATACACACTAATAACAATTTCATTGATATTCTACATCGAAACTGGGAAATAATACATTTTTCTCAACGTAAAATGGATAAAACAGAATAATGTATCTACCCGAGTGTTGTTCAACCTGACAGCTTGTAACAGTGTCATCTTTGGATAGTGAAATTTCACCTAAAATATGACGAACTGAAGTTACAATTCACGAGTCACTGGCCCCCGAATTGGTACTCGTCTCACAAACTGAAGGTCTTAGCTGGCGTCGTGGATACGAACTGTTGGAGTGTCTCAGGCGACAACCAAACAGCCGTCTGGTGCTTCAAGGTTTTTCCGAAATTCTCTAACTGTTGCGGAATTTTGACGATTTCACAGCGAATAAAATATTCTTGAACAAATGTAACATGAACTGACTGCGTTCAACTGAGCAGTGAGCTGTTCATCGAATCTCTGATAAATGAAATCTATTGTACAAAGGTTATCCGATAGGTATTATCTGACAGCCAAAAGCTGACTAGAAAAGAGGATTCAGAAAGTGAGATGAAACACCACTGCCTACACTAGTGAATCAAAGCTTCATTGCTGATTTCACAGGTTTGTCGTGTATCTTTTTAATACCAGTTGGCTAGAATTAGGCTCCAATTATACTTTACAATGATGTAAAGTTAAATTATTTGATCTAGCGTAAAAAGGAGTTATGTTACACAAATCTACAACCTCTTCTCAAAAGAAAAACTCTCTATATTATTAATTATCCTCTACTAGTACAAACAATCAAAACATGATATTAGTTAGTACAAAATAACTCAAAATAAGGGTAATTCAATGGGAGGCATTTCATAAATGTTAGAATGAGAACGGAAATACTTATATTTCAAACGGGATATTCTGTTGCTTGCTTTCAAGAACCCTAGTAACGTATATATAAGGGTTAACTAACTGTAATCACTAGTACTTTACAAAGATACATTTAAAACCCTCAAAAATAACTCTTTACACAATGAATACTAATAATTCATGTTTTATTATGCTTATTTTTTCGATTTTATTTTCTGTTTGCCTTTTAAAAACCTAATAATCAAGAATCATAAACTTCGCGAAAGAATCCTTCCTATCAGAAATCAAATGTGACATATGAAAAAAAAACGAGGGAAAAGTGATGTAATTGAAAAGGATTCCAGTCAACAGATTATACAGTACATATAAATATCGTTTATAAAAGATATTTAGGAGTGATTTATATTTTGAAAAAAACACAAATTTATCCTAACGCAACAATATATACGTGAGGGTTCACACTCGCACACGCACACGCACACCCTTACATAAGGACACAGACAAAAAGTGTTCGTCTGATAGTGAGTGTCATCACAATTGCTGAAATTTTTATTTGGTAAGATTCAACGTATTATTGTTGATCTTATAAAAGGGGAAATTGAACCTTAATTAATGAGTACAGAAATGGCTTTATAAAAATAATGAGTCGTAAAATTTATAATGAAAAGCCACATGCATAAATACATAAATGTATAGATAATATGTCTTGATATCTATTTGCTGATGAAATGATTACTGAAGAACCTGTTTGAAAGTATTGGTGGATTTATAAGCACAACGAGTATGTAGTAGCAGAATGCTGATTAAGACTTTTTACCTTGGATTCACAAAATTTACACACACACGGTTGGAGAATTTCTGTATATTTTACATATGCTTATTCAAATGATGTCTACTTTACAGTAAAGTATGTGACTCTGAGGATGTCAAGTCCCATAGGCATTAGTTCAATTCACTCACATTTAACCTGAACCAAGAATTGCACTTGTTCTGTATACGGTAGACTTTATTTTTTGTTGTTTCCTAACTACATCTTAATAGTATTCACATACTGTACGTTTCAATATGATATCAGTCTCCATATAGTCATACTGGTTTATGTATAATTACAATGTCGAGCTGCTTGATTAATGAACGTTATAAATATCACCAGGTACAACAACTTATTTAAAGCAAATAAGTGGGCTTTCTGATGACATCCATTGTGAGAAAAGTAGCGAGCAAATTACGGAAGCATAAAAGTCTTAACAGTCAACACAAATCCACCAATCACTAAGATAAACATAATGCCCAAAAACTTTAATTAGTGTCATTGCTTATAAACTCGACAAAATAAGAAGCGATCAACAGCATAGTTCACTTTGAAAGTCAACTGAAATGACTATCATGTCTTCTCGCAAAATCTGTCTGCATTGAATTCACTGTCTTGGAATGTTAGAATCTCTACTGTAAGACAATTAGAAACTTTAAAAAAATCCTAATGTTTTTGTGGTTTTTGGACATGTGATAAATGTAGCTAACGTAGCCTGCTTTCTTTCATAGCCATTAGAAAGAAATTATTTGGTCATTTTAAAACAAGCTGTATCAACATATTTGTTGCTTGTATTAAATTCGTAACGGAAAACCAGCTTTTAGTATTTAGTTAGCTGGTGTGTTTCACTGAGCAGCAAGAAAGTTGTCAGTCCAAATATTTTTCAATGCAGTCGCCTAGTAAGTTCCACTTTCATTTGCTCTGCTAGCGTAAAATGCAATGGATTCTCAACTATCCGAGCATGACGCTGGACACGTATATTTACACTTATAGTATTCAAATGATTATTGATAAGCATTAGAATAGTTTATCATAAAGTTTTCAGACTTACTTAGTTTAATTCAGGAATGTTAAATGTTCCACATATTTGTCTGTAATTATTTATGAAATGCATGAAAATGTAATTTAAGCGTATCGCAAATTGCATTAGACAGGTTAAATACGATCAACCAATCAGATTCATCCCGTAAATGATTGGTCGGATTGAAGGTCAATCGTGAAGAGAAGAAAATCGAGTTTTTGACAAGAGCAACTTATTGTTGTTTTGTCACTGCAGTTATGATACTCTCTTAAAAACAACCATCATCGAATAAACAATTAAGTTAACCAGCTTTTCTCCCCTTTCAATGGTCTATCGACCACGGGGTATATAAACAGTATGGGATGGATCGATAAAATGAATAAATTCACAATTGTCATCAGAGTATTGAAGTTTATTTTTAACTACATAAATATGCGTTTTCAAGTTTATTTCATACTGACACAGAAAGTTTTAGAGAAGATTTTTTTTCTTGCAACTTAATAGCGATTTCCACTTAGACAACCTTTTCAATTTTTTTTTCCATGTGTGAGTTAATTATGGAAATTTGAATAACTGCTTTCTACTTAGATACTGTATAATTTTGTTAAAGAAAACTTCTATTTTTTCGAAACAGTATTAAAATATTAAGTGGTAATTTGCTACTACATTTGAAAATTTTATCTTCTCCTGTTTGAACGTTGAATATTCATTGCTTTTTGAGTGATATCCTATATTTGTCCCTAGTGTTAACTTATTTTCTCAAGTCGTATGAACGGTCCTTTTTATCATTCAGGTCACTGAATACTTCCTCAGTTAGCTGCCACATTATATTGTGAAGCTACTTTTCCAATGAAATAACAAAATATTGATTTGAAGGCTCATTTTTTTATATTCCTTTACGTTCCTGATGGAACATAGGGCTTCAAGCTACAGGCATGAAGTTTTGGTAGCGGTGGTGTTTGTTTTACGGGATGAGGTTATCAGCCTCATGTCCAACCTTCCCTCTTTGCCAGCCTTATTACTGGCTTAGCGAGGTAAAGAAGTGCGTCGGCCGGTGGTTGGACTCCGGACCACCTGATTGGTCGGCGAGCATTCTACCGCTGAGCCACCGACGCCGTTTGAAGGCTCATACATGCTAGTATGTTAGCATCAGTGTATACTTTATATCGTATTATTACATGCTAAAATATTATCAAAAAATCGTTAAGTTTTAAATTTTCTCATTGAAAAACATTTAGTGTCACATTCGTTTTCCCTGAGTGATTAGCCTAAATGAAACTCGAATTTCAGGTGGTCGATATGAAAACTACATTGTTTTACCCACTAGCTTACTGTTTTTCTTTTAATTGTCTGGTGTGCATTCGAAGTGGGGAGGCTGTTTCTGAGATGCTGCAGAGATCACTTGTAATAATATAGGATTTCCATGGTTAAATGAAGCCACCGCTTTTCCATGTCTGTGTCAATAAATTATATAGTCACACACAACAGACTAAATGCTCATCTGAATGACAAATAATTGTTCATTTTCAAGAAATAAAATCAATAATTTCATACAGCCGGTTCCGTTTATTAGTTTGAATAAAGAAAGAACGAATATATATTTTCAGGATAATACGAGCTCGTTTTATTTCGTGGATTCTTTTCAAGAGCGTACATCCTAAATAAATCAATTATATGGTACAAAATTTCTGAACATATTTCTTACAATGATTTCAAGTTATAGATAGGAAGTATAGGCAATATAATTTTAAGGATGATGTAATTAGGCAATTATTCAGTGTTAAAAGAGTAACAATTTATACAGTGATTAGATAAACGGGTGGAATTCAGATTTCGCTTGGAAACAAGGGTAGACTAGAAACAGAATACGAAATTGAATAACAAAGTGAATTTATGCATGTTCTGGGGGAGAGTTCAGAATGTTTAGGATGTCAATGATTTTTATTTGGGATGTACGCAGTTGAAGAGAATCCACCAAATACAACGTGCTTGTAATATCCTGCGAATATGTCCGTTCTTTCTTTATTCAAAAAAAAAATCAATAAAACTCGAAACATGCAAATCGAACGCCATCGGTTGATACTGTCAGTGTGTATCACACTTGTTTAGTAAAATAATACGGTGATAACAGTGGTTTGTGACCTTGACCAATTTATTCATTTGTAAATAAATTTATTTAATGAATTCATCACATACATGTTATCACAATCAAAAAAGGTAGCGAGGATCACTTGAAATAGTCGTTATATGTGAAATGACTTTGGTAACGTATAAATTAATGTCTTTTTTAATAAACAAAATATACATTGCCTGAAGTGGAATACATTTTAATTGATTGTGAAACTATGCGGGGTAAACAGATGTGTTAGTCCCCGATTTATATGAAAGTCCTTCTCATGTAGTGATAGAACTGTCTCATTTTGAATTATACATATTTGTGTCAAACATTCGTAGTCTTTAATACTACTATTAGATTTATTCTGAAAATGCGTTTTTACACAGTACAGAACTTTCAACAAGTTTCTTATTGCAAGGTATTTACTCCCTATGCAGAATCTTCAAGTAATATATAGTAAACGATGATATATCAACTGAAGTGATATTGTTTCATCTGAAGCATTTTCCAATTATCCACAATGTTTATCCTTCATTTCCGTCAGAAAATTCGTAGCAATAGGTTGAAACCGACTTGAAAATGTACCTGAGTATGCATAAAAATTCTCAGACGTAATTGTATGATTAAAACAACATAAAATATAGTAAACACGGTGGATTTAGGTGGATAGAAAATTTAGGTAGCCCAGTGATTTAAACAGGCAGTCAAAAATGCTTATGTTTTTTTTCAAATATTGACTCAGTTTTTTGAAAACAGATGACTGCGAATTCTGATTCCCACACTGTTGCAAGTAAATTTTATCAGTGACACTCAATGATCCGAAAAATTCTGAAAGAGGTAATATAAAGGTTGATGGAGTTACTGATACTTTGTGGTAGGACTAAGCAATGAAGCAGTAAACGAGACAAGCAAAACCCAAGAATGAAACAGGCAGTGAACTATTGTCTGAATAGACTACTGACGGTTTTCATTTTTTACAGTGAAGAAATGTGATCTACTTTGTGGAGTAATACTTTGTGAAAGTTGACAGAAAACTATCTTGGATTTCTCGTTTTTGTTCAGAAAATAAGATTTCAAACTGAAAAAAACTAAATTCATCATCTTAAAGATTTATTAGGAGTAGTACTTTTGAGTGTAAATCCAAATACAGAATTCCATGGAAATTTTCTCTGGCAAAGAGTCTTATCTTCATATCCTATTACTTTCTTTTATTGGTAATTAGATAAAATTTCCTTTGGGCGATGTTAATTTAATCTTATAGGTCAGATGATAATAATTTTATAGTTGTTCTCGATGAACTCAGTGTGAGATAATCACTTTTTTGTGGTGAGTGTAGAGTCCTTCTCGCTATCAGACGTCTTTCTATCCTTTGGTCTTCATGAATAGGAAGAATTACTGACATTCAGCAGGAGTGAGTATGAAAAAAATGACTGACTGTTTTGATAAAATACTTATTAAATATAAATGTGGAATCACCTTTTCTGTAAAATTCCCAGAAAGAAAGTTGTGTGAGTATCTTGATGTGATTATGAGAAATAATTTGTGCTAGAAACGTGGTCATCAGTAAATATTAGTGCATAACACTGTGTGACTTTATCAAAATAAAGTTTTTACCCATAATAGAGTCAGACTCTACCACAGTGCCCCAGTTTTATCCTTATATCCATAAAGTTCACAGTCTTAGGTGAGAAAGTAAGTCAGTCTTTGAAGTGTCGAGGAAGCGTGTCACTGTTGCCTGATCGCCATTTAAATTATTGAGATATTTTAGGCGGAAGCAAGATTATGTTGGAAAAAACGAAAGATGACCTGAATAAGATCAGGACTCGCTAACATCGATTGCTTCTGTAGTCTGTGTAGAAAAATGCACGTAGCCTGCCTATGGTTCTTATGAAAACCACAATCGACGCCTAAGGACTTCAGGAGATATGACTTGGAAAATGGCTGCTACGACAAGGATACATTCTTGTTTGTCATTGCTTTAAGTGCTGTGTCACTTTTTTATTGGCTTTTCTGCTTTTGCTGACTGCCTGTAGATGCTGCGAGGTCATGTTAGCTTATTCTAGCAAAGTGAGGGTTTTCTGTCGTTGAAATTTTACAAGTGAAATATCTGAATAGAAGTAATTTTTAATAAAATGGTGTAATATTTTGTCGAGAGTGTGGGAAACTGTGAATCGCTTAGACGGTATGTTGGCATGGTGTGACTGCGGTACTCTTTGCATGTTAGTTGTATCCGTTTATGTTTCATTTGAGCTGTGTTGAAATGCTGGTATTATAAAAGGAAAGGAATTATTAAAGAGTGGTATTTTCTAATAAAATGGTTTATTTTTTGCAACAGCTGTTCTTCTTCTTGACAAAGATTCATTTTATGAAGGTTTCATTGGTTGCATTGGATACTAAAAATTTTCGCGGTTATTTAAATAAAAGCTCTGGTCACTTTCACTTCCTTCGCTTCATGGTGTCCTATATTTCATGGTTTTATTATTTTCGTTTAATGGTATTCCCATTTTTGATTGGACACTAGTCAGTAACTAGTGTAATGTGTCTAGTCCTTTATTTGCTGCAGACAGGATTCGACTAGTCAGGTTTGCAGTGTGGTCACTATGCTAGGTGGCTCGCCGTCAAGATGCACTGTGAATTGTTGGTATTAGATGGTTGGAGGCAGTCGGCAGATACGCCTTGCCGATGAGTGCCAACTAGCACGAAACCTAAGTCCAAGGCTTCGTGCCGATTGCCTCTAACCATCTAATACCAACAATTCGCAGGCATTTCCATTTATTGACTTCAACTCAGTGTGCAGATATAAAGTATAACAACTTAAGCCTTCGTATATTGATACCGTCCGTCTGTCATTTTCTCTTAATCTATATGCAACCTACCTTACCAATTTTATTTCACTCTGGTTTCATTTTTATCTGCTGTTCGAAAAGTGATACATCAATTAACGAAGTCATTATTAATTATTTCTTCTCAGCCAGAATAAAGAAATAAAATTAGATAAAAAGGAGAATGTCAGCACTAGTTGAATAAAAAACTTTGGTTTTTCCTTTGTTCACTGAAGATGAAAAGAACCTTAAAATGATTTAGAAACAAACACTGGAAAATCCATCAAACACAACAGAAAGCAAAATTCGAAATTATAACTAGTGGTGTTGAAAAGCCGTGAAGTATTGTCACGTATTCACTACAAGTCTACATGATGTTTTGTTTGCTGCATTGTTCAACCTTTGAACAAATCCGGTAATTATACGCAACACAGGCCATAACGCATCTTCAGCTGCTTATGAGAGAAAAGAATGTTGTACTGCCAAATGATACAATAACAAAATTTCACCTTGTAGCTTATTTATGCTTACATCAGATGTACTGTGCTTGCCTGAGTAAATATTTTCAAATAAAAATGCATTATAAACAAAAAAAGCAATATTGAATGTTTCATTAGTGTTTTTTTAAAGTAGTTTGCACATGATAAAATAAAGTGATGAAAGAGGTCTTACGAAGAAAAGGGCATATTCTGATTGCTTTTCCACAGAAATGGATTAATACTGAAAGTATTAGAAGATGTACGTGATACCACGTGAGTAGTATTCTTTCATACAATTCTGTGAAGAAGTGGTATGATGTAATCTGAAATAAGAATATTACACGTTCTAAGGTACACTAAATAAACACACAGAATGACATTCCGTTAAAATACTTAATGGTCTACCGTGGACTAAAAACACGAGTGTGAAAGTG